TTATTCAGCATCCCTCAGAAGCCCTTTCTTAGCAGAAAAGCCACCTGTTCAACCACAGCGATAATGGCCAAGGCCCTTAGCCAGGCTGGTCTGGGAGTGGGGCAATTTATACTCCCAGGGCAAACTGTGGGGAAGAGGGAGAGAAACCATGATCCAGCTCTTTTCAATGTATTTTCACAAAATGTAGGGTTGACCTATTTAGTGGCTAGAACATCCGTCCATCCATCCATCCATCCATCCATCCATCCATCCATCCATCCATCAACCTATTCATCTATCTATCTACCTACCTACCTACCTATTCATTCATCCACCCATCCAACCACCCAGCCACCCATCCATCCAACTACTATCCATCTATCCACCCACTCATCCATTTATCCATCCATCCATCCATCCATCCATCCATCCATCTATCCATCCATCCATCCATCCATCTATTCATCCGTCCATTCATCAATCTACACACCCACCCATCTGTTAATCCTTCAACAAATATCAACTGAGCATCTGTGATGAATGAGTAGGGTCCCAAGAATACAATGTTGTGCTGAAACAACCCTCATAGTACTTCCAGTCTCCCGAAGAGAGGAGCTAATAAAACGCTTCATTGTAAATGATGCAAGTGCTAAGAAGGAGCCCTGGAGGTGCCATGAGAACCAATGGCAGGCAAATCTGACCTGGCCAAGGAGGCCAGGAGGGGTTCCCTGGGGAGGCTGCTTTAGGGGGAGGAGGAGTAGAAAGCCCCTCTTCTTTCTCTACCATAGCCCTGAATATAGCTGGGTCTGGCAGACACCGCTGGTTACTTCTCCAACACCCACTTCTCCCTTCATTTTTGTCCACAGAATCCGGTTTTGTTAGGTATCAGGCATCTAGCCCCAGGCAGTGAGGAGGTATCAGTCTGAGCTAACCATGGTGATGTCACTTGCCTTTTGTCTGTGATTGGTTTAGGAATGTTCTTGCCTTTGAGGCCTAGCAGAAGTCTTCAAGATTTCACTTGTCAGCTTGGAGTTGGATGTGAACTAACTTTGCAGCATGATCCATGGGGCAGGCGCACACTTTGGAGTTGACACTTAGGGTCTTGCATAGGAACGAAGTAACCTCATCACTTGAATGAGACAGAATAGGTGGTGGTTTCTAGAGCTTGCCCTGTCATTCACCAGCCACATTAAATTTTGAATGTCTTTTCCTCTTTCTGAGCATGAGTTTCTTTTAATATAAAGTGTCAAGTGGGTCACATGTGCACAGCTTTCCTCTGTTAACTGTTGTGAGGATGAAATAAATGATATTTTTGTGCAAGTGTGCCACATGGCTGCAAGTTGCTATCAAAGTGTGAACCAGTATTATTGGCAAGGTGTGATAAATGCTCCACCATCATCTTGCTTCATTCAAGCTTGCTTCATTCAAAACATCTGGGCTCTTTATCTAGCAACATAATTGCAGTTGGGGTTACAACTCCTCCTTGGAACCCTCTAGGTTCCTCAGGTTCTCTGAGTGGAGTCCTAATTTCAGATGGAGATGATGCTCCTCTTCCTTGAAATGTCTTTTGACTTGGAAGCTCACTGCTCCAAGTGGGCTCTGGGAGACTGCCTGGCTCCCTGTGTCACCAGGGTGGAGACTTCCCAGAGGCTCCAGTTTGTGAGTGAAACTCTGAGTCCCTCTTGCCTCAGGATTCAGGATAGGGTCTTTTGCTTCATCAGAAGCCCACAGAACTCAGAGGTCATTCAATGAAGGAAATGGGCGACAAAGCCGACCCCAGTGGCTCCTTTCTTGCCATTTGTTAACATAAAGAGCTTTGGGTGGGGCGGATGCACGTTTGCTCAGGGCTGGGCCTAGGCTTTGGCTCCCTTTCCTTTTGGAATTTGATTCCTTCTACTCTTCTCTATCCCTGCCCACAGAGCTGGTGATGTTGGGCTGCATCTCTTTTCCAGAACTCTCTGCTGTAAGTACCAGCCTGCAGCTCAAGGCATGCTGTTCAGGAGAACTTTTGATGGAAATGTCCAGTGGATGTCCTTTGCCCAATGGTAGCCACAAGCCACGTGAGGCTGGCAAATATTTGAAATGTACCCAGTGGGATGGAGGAATGGAATTTTTAATACTATTTAATTTCAATTAATGTATATTTAAATTGCTACAAGTAGCTAGTGGCTTGTGTTTCAGACAGTATAGGTCTAGAGCTCAACATCCCAGTCATTCTAGTCTCTCTACTGCAATAAAAATGAATCTGTCCTGTGTTCCAATCCCAAGGCCCTCTTCTTAGAGAAGCACTAGCAAGACAATCTCATAAACAAATTGCTATCCACAAATTAAAGTCTTACTCCCTTAGGTACATGTGCAGGTTTTGAGTAATGCCACAATTTAGTCAAAGCAGAGGTTCAAATGATAGGAATCTGAGAAACTCTAACAGGTAAGTGGTGGGGGAAAAGATGATGAGTATAGAGCTTTAAATGAACTTCAAAGCACACCCTATCGTGTGGCACATCCTCCCTAGTACCCTGGGCTGCTTCTAAGCTCCTCCTAGCCTCTTGCAGTCTGGAGAGAGATAAAGGCAGAAATTTGTGGAGGGGAGCCTGGGAAAGGGCTGGAGGTGGGAGGGTTGGAATGGGCAGAGCCTGAGGGATCCCTGAGCTCTCGCAAAAGAATCTGGCATGCCAGGCAGAGAGACAGTTTGTTTCACCCTGGGTGGGCATGGGGCCCAAGGGAGTGATTGTTAGGGAGTGATCATTACCATTGGGACAGGATTGGAAAGTTAATAGTTAAGTTAAAGAGACCAGACATCAGATCAAAGACTGCAAATAGACTGCAGCACTTCTGGTTGAGTTTTGGACAGGAATTGTAATTCTACTCTTAATTTTTAATCCCCTCTTTTAAAGAGGTTTTTCCCCCCCTGGAATTCTTTTATGAATACTGCTTTCTGGATGTTCTTGTCACCCTAAAACTGAGCTGTGTTTTTGTTTCTCTTGGATGACCATATAACTGCTTTCAAGTTCCTGCCTGTGTTTTCACCGATATCCACTGGAATCAGAACTATCTTTGTAATCCAAACACCAGGTTGGGTAAAGGGTGGAAAATAATGGAGGATGGATGCAGGGACCAGGGGGAGATCAATCAGAGGAATAAAAGGTCCTGGAGGGGCATTTAAAGATGAGTAGGAAGTGTGTGTACAAACCCTACGGCTTTGGGATTTCCTTTCAGGGCTTGGTTTGCCAATGGATACCACAGGTAAATCTGCTACCACCACTTTATCTACTCGATAGTATTTGGTTAACTTTTTAAGAAAAGGATTTCTGGTTCAGCCACTGTTTAGAATGGTGACCCATTTCCTGTAAAAAGTTAAAATTATATAAAGTGAAGTGGAGACTGTGTCTCAAATATTTTGTGCAAATATGTTGCATATGAATACATGTCTATGAATAATGAATACACACATAAATACAAAGTAGTAGCCAAATTTCCCCAGAGCTTTGCAACACAGCTCTGTCTACTGGTGCTTCTTGATCTCTTCAAACTCTTAAAGGAAAGGCGCACTCAGGATTCAGCATTGCCCTGTTCTCCCTCATTTGCCTTTCCTTCCAGCAAATAGCATGAGGGATTTGGCATCAAGGGGTAGAAGCCAGTTGCACTGGAGAAAGCAACTCAGAGAAGTCTGAATGGGTTGAATCACCACTTCCAATGTTAGCAGACGCTCCTGAGCAGGGCTATTATGCTATGCGGTGCTCTTGTACCCAGAACATTTTGATGGCTGATGACATTCCTGCAAGCATTTGCTAATTTTATTCTGAACACTATAAATTTCAGTCAGTTTGCATGAAAAACAAAAGTTCCTGCTGGGCTGAGGCAACTTAGAGCAGTGGATCTTGGTAGGGACAATTTTGTCCTCTCCCGGAGGACATTTGGCAAAGCCTGGAAACATTATTTTACTGTTACTTTTTTTGGGGGGAGTTTTGTCCTCCTGGGACCTGTCTGAAGACAACAGCAGTTGTTAGAGCTGGGTGGGGTGGTGACCTCCTGGTCTTTGGTGGGAGACACCAGGAATGCTGTGAAGCATCATACGATGCACAGAGCAGCCCCACAATCCAGAATGATCCGACCCAGAATGTCCACAGTGTTGTTTGAGAAACCCTGGTCCAGAGGGAAAGTTCAGGCTCAGTTCTTGACACCAAGGCAGCATGATGGCTCTCAGGGAGCTATCATGTTTGAATGTTTCAACCCTTAGATGGTCCCACAAAATCCCAGGAAAATTTTGCCCAGAATTTTCTTCAACCAATAACCTCATCAGTTCCCTATCTTCCTGGCTCCCTCACTTTCTCTGAAATTGACTACAGCCTCAAAGTTGTACATGTGGAGCTCATCTCAGTGGGTCCAGATCCCATTTGACTGTAATATAGACAGAGGCAAGTCGGGGGCTTGGTTTCTCCATCTGTAAAATCGAGTCATAATACTTTATGATCTATTTGCTAGGTAGTCCTGGCAGCCTAGGGTTTCCTTGCCACTGGTAAATGGGGGAAGATCTGGAGCCTGTCATATATGAGTCCTGCCATGAGGGCTGGGAGGAAGAAGACACAGCAGTGACATTATGGGGTCCAGAAAGCTGTGGCAAGAATTTATATAGAGTTGCTTAGGAAAATGAAAGCAACACAGTCTCTGATAATAAAAGTAACACAGTCACTGTCGATAATCTCTCAACTACAGAACAGTACAAGGAGAAAATAAAAATCTCTCATGATTGTACCACTAGGAGATATCAGCTATTAAAAGCTTTGGTATTTTTTTGAGACAAACAGAGAAAAGGATGAACATCAGGTTTTCTGAGTTGCACATGCTGGGGAGATGGAAACAGTTTTTGAAGACAGCAGAATGTGCCAGTGTAGACATTGACTTGTTTGAGATGATATTCTCTGTGAACCAAGAGAGTTGAGCCCTTGCCCTGGATGAAAGGGACAGTAGGGCAGATTGGTGATGTGATGCGACCGAGGGGCATGTAAATAAGTCCCCCTTACCTTCAGGGTTCATGTGGAAAGCATCCTCAGTGTTCACCTCCATAAACAGGAGAGTTCTTTAGCTGAAAGAGAAAATGATTCATTTTAGCTCAAAGATGACAAAACAGGAGATTCCATTTCTGGTTCACTCTGCAGTATGTAGCGTGGCTGAACGTTGGCACTTCAGTGATGGGCGTTAACAGCTCTAGTGTTCTGGAATTACTTTTTTGGCAGCCTTATTTTGAAATAATTTTAATCTTACAGAAAAGTAATAAAATTGTAAAAAAAAAAACACCCCATATACCTGTGACTTGCATACACCAGTTGTTAACATTTTACCACATTTTATTTATAATCTTTCTTCTCTGCATATAAGTTACTTTTTTCCTATTTGTGAGTTAGTCACAGCCATGATACATGTTTACCCCTAAATATTTCAGTATGTTTTCCTAAGAACAAGGACAATGATCTTACATAAATGTAGTACAATGATTAACATCAGAAAATTAACGTCCAATCTACAGAGCTTACTCAAATTTTGCCAGTCATTCTAGTTGGGGTTAGATTTCATGAAATTGGTTTTGGAGACCTTAATGAAATCAATTAACAAATTCTGACACAGTCACAGATGAATTGGGAATTCTAGGTCTCCTATAAGAACTTTCAGACTCGGGACTGACAGGCCTGTGTCTGGGAGGCAAGAAGGGACAACTGCAAGAGTTATGGATCTAAGAAAAAAAATGATTTCAGGACTTTAACGCAAATAGACCTGCATAGGTCTATGGCTTTTTTTTTTCTTGAGACAGCATCTCACATTGTCTCCCAGGCTGGAGTGCAGTGGTGCAATCACAGGCTCATTGCAACCTTGACCTCCCCAGGCTCAGGTGATTCTGCCACTTCAACCCCCGTCCCTCAGCTCCACTCGAAGCAGCCGGGACTACAGGCACATGCCATTACGCCTGGCTCATTTTTTTTGTAGAAATGGGGTTTTGCCATGTTGGCCAGGGTGGTCTTGAACTCTTGGCCTCAAGTGATCTGTCTGCCTCGGCCTCCCAAAGTGCTGGGATTACAGGCATGAGCCACTGTGCCCAGCCCACAGCTACTTTTTAAAATAGGCTTCGATATATATGAACAGCAATTCCTAGTTTAATGCTCAATTTTATCTTGCCCATTCCAAGCAAAGACAAATAATCTAACCAGAGTAGCAGACCAAACAATGCTTTCTCTGTCTTCAAAATCCAGAATCTTCAATATCCCTCGAGGAAGCCAGTACTGAATATTCTCCATGCTGACTCAATGGGCAGAGGAGGAGGTGACTGGCAGGAAGCTATGGATGCTCACCAGCAGCCTCATGCCATTGACACCCTCTCTCTCTCACACACACACATCACTTTGTCAACATTCCTGCTGTTGGCATAATCAGTCAAGAGACTGGAAGTCTTTACAATCAAAGCCTACCATGTGACAAGAGCATCTGAGCATAAGAGAGCCAGCCCTGAGGAATTTAATAATAAGGGGACTGATGTATCCAGAGCCTGTGACACAGACATCTGGGGCATGCTTCTTAGAAGCCACTCATTTTTCTCCATAGGGTATAGTGACACCAAATTTTTTGTTTAAAAAAATTTTAGATTCTAAGAATTATTTTAGAATTTAAAGTTATCTCTTTGATTAGAGTTGTCTTGCTCTGTTCAGAACAAATCCTGTTCCATTATGTCATTTCCCAAATAAGATCCAGATTGGTTTTACACTCTTGACAGAAACCCTGAGGGGCCAGCAAGGGACCGGGCAACCAGGACAAGGGCTGTGCTGGGGGTCATGTCTGGGACTGCAGACAGCAGAGGTTAGGGCTTCGGGGCAGGCGGGCATAAAGCGATGGTTTCTGCGGTTCGATGAATACTTATTGAGTAACTGGCCCTGGGCTCACTTGATCCATTCATCTATTATTCATTCAGCATTAATGAAATGTCTGGTCCACCACTTAGCCCTTGTCATCTCTGCTCTGGCTCCCATACCTATTCTTTACCTGCTCTGTGCCCTGTGATTCTGACTCCTGTGCCTCCAGCTTCAAGTAGGTTCTACCCAATGTAGGTAGAACACGGAGATGGGCATGCCAGGGTATCACTTTCCCTCCTTCCTTGCCTGCCTCAGAGAGTGGGGCTAGCCATGGTTGTGTTTCTTCTACCATAAGTCCAGTGAAGTAGTCATGACTCCAGCTATCACTGGGCCCTGGCAATTCCTCTTTATGCAGATGGTGGGGGGGTGACAAATTCTCTTGTTCTTCTAACCCTACCCCTGGGCAGGTGAAGAGTCTCTACATTCTCTTCAAAATCCTAGCTGTGCCTACCATCATTTTTCTGTCTGACCTTGAATACGTACTAAATTATGCCTGATGGCTCTGGACAAACAAGAAAGATGTAAAGTTTTGAATATAATTCCTAACACAAGGCTATACCATGATGGGGTGGTGGGGAGACATAATTTAATAGAAGCTCCTGGGAGAAATAACTTACCGATTTTGTCTTTTATACACTTGTATAAGTGTGTGTCAGTTAAAGAGCTATCTGATCTCTGGCTACATTATTTGAAGTATGGCATCCAGAACAGGGGAGGTGAGAGTATTACTTAGTTCTGTGAATTCTACATTAGCTTCCACTTGGAGTCCTATGCTCATTTCCTTGCTCCTCACTTTAGGAAAGAGCATATTACTTATCTTCAAGTTCTGTCACAGAGCAGAAGTCGAAAGAGTTTTTCTTAAAGAGCCAAATAGTAAATATTTTGAGCCTTGTCGGCTGAAATGTTCCAAGTATTCAGTTCCTGTAGAACAAAAGCAGCCATAGACAACACGTACATAAATAAGCTTGGCTGTGTTCCAATGAAACTTTATTTAGAGAAATAAATGGGCTGCATCTAGCCTGCAGGCATTACTTTGCTGATCTCTGATAGAAAAGTACAAAATGAATTTATTCTAGAGGTGCCGAGAAGGCAGAAATTTGATCAATGTGTAAAAATCATGGGGTGGTTGATTTGTGATAATTTTAAGGTCATTCTAGTGGTGATTACTGCTCCCAAAGAGAATCATCTGTTTCATGAATTGGTGAGTTTCTTGTCATTCTAGGGGTTCAAAGTAGAGACTGAGTGTTTTAGAAGAATTTCCTGCAGATCATGGAGAGTAAACTGGATGATGTGGGAGGTACACTGCCTCACATTTACGTCTCTTCAGCATGGTACAGTGCACACATGGTAAGTCTTCTCAATTCTGTGTTCCTAGAGGGAAGGAGCTGTGTCATATCCATCCTCGTATCCCACCCACTCCTGAAAACCTAGTATAGTGCTTTACAGATGGTGAGTGTGACCAATACATTTTGTTGTCAATCTGACTCAAATCAAATCTTGCTGACAGACTAATTATACTAATTTGTCTTTAGTACAATCATCACTACCAGTCATATTAAAATAATTCAATTACCTCTGATAAGCTTCAACATTTGAGGATTTTCACTGAAAATAATAGACAACATTTACCAAGTTCTTAAAATATGCCAGCTATCATGCTAAGAACTTTACATGCATTATCTTATTGAATACTCCCCAAAATCTATGAGGTAGATACTATAATTACCTATTTTATTGATGAAGAAACTGAAATTCTGAGAAGTCTCAGAGCTAAGAAGTAGCATATCCAAAACTTGAACTGAGATCTCTTTGATGCCGAAGGCTGTGCTCCAATCACCATTCCATTCTGCTTCCCAGTCCAGTCATTCATGTATTCTTTCATTCACTGAGTATTCAACAAATACCAACTGGTTCCCTACTGTTTGCTAAGTACTATTTTAGGTGCTGATGACAGAACTGTGGAAACAAACAGGTCAAGGCCATGCTCTGAAGAAACTTACATTCTGGGTGGAATAAAGTGGGAGTTGATACACAATTAACAAATGAGAAGCTAATAAATGGCCATTCATCATAAGACATGGGGAGAGTAAAAAGATAATAAATATTTCTTGTTCACACTAGAACCACAGGTATAATCCTCATTGATGAATTTAGCAAAGAAATGGTAATTCATCACAAGACATGAAGATTAAAAAGATAATAAATATTTCTTATATACACCAGAACCACAGGTATAATCCTAATTGATCCTAATTGATGAATTTACCAAAGTTATTTCTTGTTTTTTTTTTTTTTTTTCAACTTTCAAGTTCTGGGGTACATGCTCAGAATCTGTAGGTTTGTTACATAGGTAAACATGTGCTGTGGTGGTTTGCTGCACAGATCAAACCATCACATAGGTATGAAGCCCAGCATCCATTAGCTATTCTTCCTGCTGCTCTCGCTCTCCACGCCCCAACTGATAGACCCAGTGTGTGTTGTTCCCCCCAACCTGCTGCCCCATGTGTCCATGCATTCTCATCTTTCAGCTCCTACTTATAAGTGAGAACATGCAGTGTTTGGTTTTCTGTTCCTGAGTGTCTTTCTTGTTGACTGATATTAGCCCAAGGTTAGTCTTTAGTCCTGACAGATTGTCAGATGAACTCAGATTCAGAAAGAAATCCTCAACATTTCTGGCAACTGATAGAGATTACAGACGGCAATTTGTAGCTATGCATGTGGAACTCTTGAATGGAAAAGAAGTCTATCCAATAAAGCACTTGGGAATCGCTCTTTTTGGGCAGGCTGAACTTGAGCAGAAGCAAACACATCAATTTGAGTCAAAGGAATGGGCCTCGTTTAGGAGTAGAGCTACCAGGGTAGGTAGGAGTGGAGAAACCAAAGGGGAATTACAAAAATCTTGATTGAGAGTGAGACAGAGGGAGCAAAAGCACCAAGGGTCAAATAGGGTCAAGTCAAGTCGACCGTCAGGTCCAATAGGAATGGGAGACAGTGCCCAAAGGTCAGAAGTAAACACAAGCCCAGATGAGGAAGCAAAAAAATGCAATATTTTGTTTGTGTCTTCATGGGTGCCAACTACAAGAGGCGGGTGTGGGTGGCCTAGTTACAGGTGAAGGATAGGAACTGACAAATAGTAGTAATTCTTTCGCGATTCCAGAATTCCTTTCACTAGTGGATTGTAAAGTGATTTCATTAGAGAGTCCTGAGAGCATCAGCATCATCTTACTTTTAAAAATGGGTGGAAAACAGAAAGACAGTAATTAACATTTATTAGCTGTCAGACATTGCTTCTAAGCCCTTTAATGCTTTATTTCATTTAATCGTCAGAAGTGTACTTTGAGAACCAAGCTTTTAAATAGGGAGCTAATTAAAGAATGACTGAAACATAAGTGACATTTGGAGAGAACCTATATAATTTCATCATTGAAAATGAGTCCTGGTCATTCATATTTTGATTTGTTCACTCACATATTCAGCCTATAGAGCACCTAATACATGTTGGGTGCTATTCTAGGGCCTTTGCCTGGATGATGTTATTGATTTCAGTGTTCGACAGAGAGACAGTGGAGGGAGCACTGGATTGTGAGTCAGAAAATCTAGGTTCTGTTTCTAACTCTATCTGGTCCTGTGGTTCTTGAAAAAGTCAGGCTCCTTCTCTGTTTAATATGTTCTAATGTAAAACAAGGATCTAAGATGCTTGAGGTCTTTTAGAATTTACTGTTAAAGTATTCAGTAGTTTTATTGTACATTGAAGCTTACAATAAATACTTACAGTCTGTCATTCCACCCCCATCAGGGAAATAATACTATCTATGAGGCTTTAGAGGTGGAAACTTGTCAAGGCTTGGACCAAGTTCCTCTCCTCTTTTCACGCAATTCCTCTACCTTCTATGTAGGAGTTTGTGTGAATTTCTGAAAGAATTGTAACAGAGCTGGGTGCAGATGTCAGAGGAAAAGGGAGAGATATAGATGATATAGAAGGCAAAGAGAAGTTAAGAGTGGGAAGGACAATGTATTAGCTCTCAGGAACTTTGTGCCCTGTTTCTGAAATCATTCAGGACTGCTATACTCATCAAAAAAATGTACCCAAAGGCACAAGAAGACCTTCCAACTGGTGGGAATTACATGAAGGCAGATTTGGGTTCAGTAAAATGGTGGAGGAGTTCCTCACTGGACATTCCGATTGCCCATCACTGGGCAGAGCTAAAACAAATGGGTCATGTTACAAGGCAAAGTAACTTTTTAATTTTTAAGGCCCACCAGTCAATAGATTACTATGGCCAAGGATGGCATGGGCCACTCTGGCAGGAAGTGAGCTCCTCATCATGGTGGATGCTTATGCAGAGACAACGTAAAATCCTAGAGGGGTTAGTAACTTGGATCAGGGATATAAGACCAGGAAAGGGACTTTCAACTCTGAACCGCTAAGACTCTAGGAGGCAGGAGGCTAACAATTTCATCTGTAGCCTATAACTAGTAGTCCAGAGTTTACATATTCTTACAATAATCTACGGGGAAAACTGAAGGTGCTTTTCTAGGCACTGATATCCAGGCAAAATTCCTTAATTTATTTCTTAAATACAAGAAGTTCCTTGATTTTTGACAGCATACCCACCCTGAGCCCCTGTTTTTGGCATTTCAGATCTCTCATTCTTGACAAATAACCACAATCTGGGAGCCAGAGTTGAACCAACACATGGAAATTCTAGGTTCACCAGTCAATAGATTAACAGGGTTACCCCTGAATTTGTCCAGTGCCCTTATTTCCCAAAATGTTTTTTACCTGCCAGCTTTATCAGAAGGGTATCAGTCAATCGGCATTCTCCAAAGGTAATAACTTTAACAAGAGAAGGTATATGGAAGTGCTTTGTAACAGTGAAACACTCTGAAAAGTTATATGTTTTATTATTGCTATAACCTGCCAAGGTCACAGTTCTAGAGAGGTTACTTGGAATCCTTTTGGAGGTAAATAAATAACACTACTGATAATTTAAAAAGAAGCAAAGTCCGAGTCTCCTTGATTGGCCAGCAAGCAATAGTAACGTTTAGAGCTGGATTTTGCAAGCACAAGAGGACCAAATCAGGATCACTTAAACACAGGCGGTTGTTCCAGTCCAGTGGGTAACTGTGGCATGGATGTGAGTCTACAGAAATTGGCCAACAATCATGTTGACTGGGACAATGATGGGCTGGACGTGGGGATGAGGTGGCCACAAGCAGTGGACTTGAACAAAATGGCTTTCTGCTTAGTTTAGTTCAGAGGCCACAAGTGCAAATTCATCTTTCCCCTGATGGTAAGGGGCATTTACAAGCTGGGTCTACACTAATAATTTAAAAAGGACTGGGAACCAGTGATTAAAAAATACCTCCAAGTGATGAAAAGACACTGTTTAGACTTCTGAAGGAAATGGTTTAAAAAATAATCCCCCATTGATTGCAATATTAAGAACATTCTTAAGATGCTACCTTTGTTCTGATCTCTTAATCCCCATAAGGGGTGGTTATCTGTAAAGGTTCTTTAAGCATTTGAAGCCACTAACACCACGAGTGGAAAAAGAACACACTCTTTTAATTAAAGTGGAAAATTTCTATGTGCTTGTTAATCTCAATTGAGAAAACCTAAACGTATAAGAGAATAAATGTTTCCTGGTCTTAGTATCCAAGGCTTAGGATTATTTAAGATCAGCAGACAAATTGTTCCTATTTTACACTGATTAATCAGGAAGAATGTTGAGCGGGGAATGTTAACAGGAGATCTGTTTCAGTTTTCCAATTACATCAGCCTGGTTGGGGAATATCGAAATGCCTTGACCCTTGAACTATTCTCTCCCTTGTTCTTGGGCAACATAGCAAACGACTCTCATGAAGCAGCAATTAGTAGCATGTGTCAAGGCTGACACTTCTGTTTTTCAATCTAGTTGTTTGTTTTGCTATCCAAAGCTGCCTTCTTCAGGCACTTGGAAGCATGACAAACTGCTTCTGTTTACTCATTTGTTCCCAAGGCTAATTTAAAAGTGCAGTGGGTAGGTAAGTGATGTTGATAATGAGAACATCTCAAGGTATTACGCTGAGAACTGAGAGATCAGCATGGGCACAATAGTCCCATTCTCTAATTGATGGAAAGGAGTTGATGTACCGTTTTTTAGCTCGAGAGGACCATGTGTAGTTTGTTTTGGTCCATAAGCCAGGGGATCTGGCTCTCTGGAGCTGGAAAGATGATAGCATTGGACCAAATAATGTGCTTTAGTTCGAGATTCTTTAAGGCTCAAATTTGTTCCAGTTGCTTCATCCCAGGTTCTTACTTTTGTTTCCTCCTCATCAGTTTTGGTGACATTATTTTCCAAAGT